TGAACATGTGATTGAGCGAATCTGCATTTGTGACTTTCCTATTTCGTTGGTTTTTTTTTTTGGTGGCGCTCCTCTTCCCCTCATTTTTTCTGAGTTCATTCAATCATATTCAGAGATTTTCTTTCATGCTTTTGTTTTTTTTTGCATACTTATTTCACTTTATTAAATTTAGCGTGGTAGTCTTCAAGATGAGCTTACAAATCGTCGTACGTGCTGCGATTACATTGAGGAAGATCGAATTGTGCGACTTTTCATGCAAATAGCTTCTGCAGTCAATTTAATGCATTCATCCTTGCCACCGATTGCGCACAGGTTTTTTTTCCCCTTCCTCAGATGCTCCTCATTATTCTGCTTGAAAATTTATTCCATATTTTAGTTATTGTTTTTTCTTTTCATTCAGTTTTTGGAGATGTACTATTCCACAGTTATAGCACTTTAAAATCAATGAGCTTCAAGTTGCCGGCAAAATAAACGTGTAGAACATTTATGGACATTCCACCACGCCTAGTTTGTGTAGCCAAACAGCAGATTTTTCCTTTGTTTGTCACTTATGCAGCTTTTCAAGTGGATGATACTAAAATGTTCCCATTGATGGTGCTAGCACTGAATTTTTCGAATCCAGCATTTAGGCGCGAAATTTACAGAGCTGTCGCATTTAGTTCACTAGATCCACTGGGATGAGGATGACCAGGATTTCAAGATATTTGTATATACACCATTGGAAAACTCACTGAAGCACTCCTGTGGATTTGCTTTTTCCCAAGAAAATACTAGCCAGTTCTGAAGTGGAAACGGAAAGGATAATTTTGCATAGAAAGTCAGGTAAAATAGAGTTTGATAATGCACAGAGCGTTCTTGCGACCTTGGTGAAACGAATTATATTATGATGCATTACCTGGGATGTTTAGCAGTCTGGGATGTTTAGCATGCTAGGAACCCCGCACAGTTTTGTTAGTGTTGTGTTCGTTGCGACACACGTTGAGTTCGATTTTATTAGTACAACAGAAAATATCAGTACTGGCAGTTACGGAGCTCCGAGTTTATGATTCTTCGGTTGGTGCTGACTGGGGTTCCACGGTCAGCACGGTCCGTCTGGCCTTCACACTCCACGTTCCTCGAGACGCTGTCGAAGCTGTTGCTGGGGAGACGTCGATCCTTGTCGGCCGCACAGTGCTGTCGATCGTCAGCACACTGCCCTAAACCTTGCTAGTCGATCTACGCTCCAGATCCGAGTTGTCCTGGAACGTTCTCGAAAGGGGAGAGCAAGATTACTTGCTCCCAACAGTTAGTTATAAGAATTTTTAACAGTCAGAAGCGATATAAAAAAAAGCATCAGCAAGTCTGCTTTTTAAGATATAGTATCCGTTCAAGAAACTTTTTTAGGGATTTAAAGCCAGCTAACGTGCTGCTCTCGGACGACGATAGGCCTGTACTGATGGATTTTGGTTCTTGTTTTGTTTGTCCAATTCTGATCACGGATGGTAGGGAATCTAGAATACAATTGGTAAGTTCCAGATTCGTACTTCTAATTTATGATAATCTTTTCCATTTTTGAAGGATGTTGAGTCCAATACGTGTTGAATATATCACAAACCTACGAAGTTTCACTGAAGATCAAAATTTAGCGTTTTTACTGACCCAGTGGACATGACGCAGCGGAAGTAGCACTGCTATTATAAAGAACGTCGAGATCGAACTCCACCTCTGGGACAGTCAAACCCCGTACCATTCGTTTATTCGATTCGAGGATAAATCGATACTGCACATACAAGGTGTCGGGAAAAAACTCTTTTCTTGCAGTGGTTCAGATCAGTAGAATTATGCTGATTTGTCGGGAGTGCAATATGGGCTACCGCTGCTTCAGTAGCACAGAACGGACTACCAGTAGTGCAGTACAAGCTACCAGTAGGGCACGACGGGCTTCTCTGGTGTGACGAGTGGAATCCTGGGATGACGACCGGCTCCCTTGTTTCAGTTTCGTGAAAGTGATTGGGGAACGGGCTATAGGGGGAAGATCGCCCGTTACAATTTCCGTTAACACCAAGCATTAAATGTGGGAAAACCAAAAAACAAAAACTTCCAAGATAACGGCGGTGATAACTGTCGTCACAAATATCTTGTGGTTGTCATTATCACGATACATAGTCATCAAAATGCGCATTCCTCGGCTTCGCCGACACGAGAGAGTCAAGCTGGCCATCAATTTTCTCATAAGTAATCTTCGAATACGAAGCACTTGCCGGTGGATAGGTGTTGCTTTCAGTTGCCACTGTCGGGTTATTTCTTGAGTGCTTCCGCCTCTCTTAGCGAACAAATACGAGGGGTTTTGGCTTATGATTTTGATTAATCCCTAAATTTCAGCGATTTGAAAGGTAGTAATCAAGCAGTCTTCACCTATTTCAGCATTTTTTTATCTTATTTTTTTTGTGTTTTGAGAATGGTCTCTGTTGACAGCAGCGTTTCCCACAGGTCCGAAAAGTTTAATTCCTTTACGCCATCTATGAACGGCGTTATTTTTCCTTCAGTTTGAAACAGAATTTGAAATAACCGAAAAGTTCTAATTTGTAGTTTCAGTTTCTTACTTTGAACGAATGAAATCGTTGTATTGATATGGCAACATGTTCATTTACTATCGAATTAATTTCATATATAAAATCCAGTAATCTTCCGATTTTAGTGATGACTGCTCCACAGTGCATGAAGATTTCACTGCCCATGTAAGATTTTGTTTTCAGGATGAAGCTGGTGAACTATGCTCAATGCCTTATCGAGCTCCAGAACTTTTTGTTTGCGAAGTTGGTTCAAAAATTGATCAGTCTGTAGATATCTGG